ATTTAGTGATTATTTTACAAAAAAGCTACTTATTTCACACAGAGAGTTAAATTAACCACTTAGTAGATAAATGAAAACTTTTCTGGAATTGAAAAATCAAATCAAATAATTTTCGTTTGTTCTGCTTTGTACCTACAAAATATAAAGTAGACCGCAAATTATTGCAGTAAAATTAAAGTTTGCTAGCTGCAAAAGGACTGGAGTATTTGGTTATGTTTTTAAAAACGAAGGTAAGTAGTATCGCGCGTATTTTTCCTAGCTACAACGTCGTGACTCCATGTTCGTCTAGTACCAGGATTTTATAAAATTACAGAGGTTTGCTATGTACTTTTTTGATCTTAAGTTTACGTAGCTGGCTGCAATGGTGCAATTCTGTGCTCGTCTAAAACCAGGATTTTATAAAATTACAGAGGTTTCCGATGCACTTTAATGTTGTGCATGTTTATCCATTCTTATAACAGTTATTTGATACATCCAATGAAATACAATAAAATTATCGTAAAACATAATTTTAAATACCTACCTATGTAATACGAATATTGTATTATTAACATATAACTTGAAACGTACATTGAAAGTACGGATTTATTCATCATTAAATATCAGTATAGTTTTCTGAAAAGTATAGTTTTCATTCACATTTTCTCCAGTTACTGACGATGATATACGCAAAGCTATTTCTTCTATTAAATCTAATGCTAAAGGTCAAGACAATGTGAGTAGAACTATGATCCTTCTTTTATTAGACACAATTCTCCCAATTCTTACTCACATTGTCAATTTCTCCCTATTAACTGGCTGCTTTCCGAATTTATGGCTAAAAGCATGCGTTATTCCACTTCCCAAAATCACTAATCCCACTCTTCCAAGTCATTATAGACCTATTTCAATATTACCATATCTCTCAAAAGTTCTTGAAATTATTACTCATAGACAAGTTTCGTCATTTATAGCTAACACTAACTTTCTTAGTCCCTTTCAGTCTGGTTTTCGTCCTGGACACAGTACTACCACTGCGTTACTTAATGTAACTGAAGACATTCGTGATGGCATGGAAAACACCCGTCTTACTATATTAGCACTAATAGACTTTTCTAATGCCTTTAACTGTGTCGACCATGATTTACTTTTGGAGCTACTTTCATATCTTAACTTCTCCCCGTCAGTACTGGAATGGTTCTCCTCTTATCTTCGTGGTCGCCAGCAGGCCGTTCGTTCTGGACAAAATCTGTCTGACTGGTGTGAATTGATTGCTGGCGTTCCACAAGGCGGTATTCTCTCTCCATTTTTATTTTCACTATTCATTAATCTCATCGTACCTCACCTCAGATGCTCTTACCATCTCTATGCAGATGATTTACAGCTTTATTCTCAAGCCGATCCCAATGGTATTTCTGCAGCTGTAGATCTACTGAATGCTGACCTTAACAATATATCCCGATGGTCTTATCGCTTCGGTTTATCAGTTAACCCTCAAAAATGCCAGGCTATAATTGTCGGTAGCTCTAAACTGCTATCCAAATTAAACACGGAAAATCTGTGTCTGCGTTTTGAGAACAATATTATTTCATTCTGTCCCCAGGTTAAGAATCTCGGCTTGATCATTGATCCAACACTTAGGTGGCATATGCAGGTGACCGAAGTGTGTCGTAGGGTTACAGGTATATTGCGTGTGTTATATCGCTTTAAATTCTTTCTCCCACCTTCGACTAAATTACTTCTAGTCCAATCCTTAATTCTTCCGCATTTCGACTATGCTGACGTGTGTCTTACTAACCTTTCGCAAGATCAGCTGAATAAGTTGGAGCGTCTGCTTAACAACTGCATTCGGTTCATCTTCGGACTACGGAAGTATGACCACGTTTCCAATTTTCGCTCACAACTTAAATGGTTGACCATCCGTAACCGCAGAGACTTCCGTATCCTATGCGCACTCTTCTCTATCATTAATGACCCTCTCTCTCCCACTTATTTGAAAAATAGATTTCAGTTTATCAGAGATTCCCATTCCCGTGATCTTCGCTCATCCCATAACCTCCTTCTCTCAACTCCCTCACATCTTTCAGGCTTTATGTCCAACTCATTTACAGTTACTGCGATTAGCCTTTGGAACCAATTACCTGTAAACCTACGTAAAACACGATCTAAGCCACTTTATAAAGATAAATTATTTAAATACTTATTGAGTACTCAGAATCAGCAGAATTAGCTTTAACTATTGTGCATTGCGTTAGTTTTAGTATATTTATCTATATTTAACGTGTATGTATGTATTTATTATTTTATTAATTCAATATATATCTTACTTATTCTTACATGTATATAATAATTTTGTTTACTGTATATTTATATAATATATATATGTATATATATATCTTGCATAGTTATTTATATGTATTAACAAATTTAAAACAGCTCTCGCTAATACCCCATTACGCTTTCTGTTTATACCCTAAGGTTAGCTGGGAGAGAATGCCATACGGCATTAAGCTCGCCTGTTGTACAAAATTTTTTTTTTTGTTCAATAAAGAATAAATAAATAAATAAATAAAAAGTTTCATTGTAATGGCAGATGTCTTACAAAATTAGATTTGAAGCATTAGGGGTTTTAATTCTTTTTATTTGCCTGCTTATAATGCAACTATATACTAAATTAAATGAAACATTACGTGACTGACTATGTTCAGGCACAACATTTTTTTCAATCATGATGAAATCAGTTAGGGATTGACATCCAACTAAAACATACTATTATTAGAAAAATATAAAAAAAAACGTTATATAATTGAAAAGGCCTCGTTAGTAGTTCAGAAAATTTTTATTTACTTAAAATTAATAAATTAATATTAATTTTAAATATATAAAAAAATTCTGAATGGGAGGTTTAAAATACGAATACAGCATTTATGGTATCAACTTCTTATCTATTGATATAACTTTAAAAGAGAAAAAGTTGAGTAATTACTAACTGAATACAAACTTTAACGTTAAACAACACCCCATTACTAAAACTTAATTAGGTATATCACATGACACATGATAACAAACTTAAATAGAAATAAGCTTAATAAATATTATTTGATGAGGCATATTGTTTTTATTCTACCAGTTATTCGGAAAGCAAATTTTCAGTCTCTCTTTAGACTACTAAAATATTATTATAATTCAAAACTCTTCAATATTGTAAAAGTTTTTGGGCGTATAAAAAATGTATTTTATGCAACATTTGCATCTATTTTTTTAGGCAGATGTCGGTCAGACTAGCAGCTTGTTGTAAATGTATCATAATTGAGATCAAACAAATTCCTAACCTTAGTAAATCAGCATTTGGTAAAACTGTAGTTTGTTTTTAATTCGTAATGTTTTATTAGTGCAATCGCTAACTTCTGTGAAGCTGTCAACTTTTTCTTGTTTTCGGAAATGTATTAAGAAGCAACTGTGATGATATTTAGTGCTTTAAAGCACTCTCGCTAAGACTCGAGATCCTCAATCATTACAATCGTATCATATTTAATGTAAGAATATTGCAAGAATAGCCCTATTTAAAGAAAATCCAAAACGAAATAAATTATCTAGTGATACACACAATATTATTTTTTATACCATATAGGTGGCAAATAAGCATACCTACGGTCCATCTGATGGTAAACGTATACTACATATCCGGAAGCTTGAAACTTTTGTTTATATATTATATTTATAACAGATATATTTCCATTTACCCATATAACCAGGGCAACATCACTTAACAGAGAAATGGGAGAGTTCATTCACGAGTTTCATTGTAGATGATGTTTCGTGAAAAGGTAGCACTAGGATTTCATCAAAAAGGAGGGGTACTCAGTGTACTTTCTGATATTAGGTACTTAATACGTCTAGTGAATGTAATAAATCGATCGTCTAGATGAAAAGAGGAAGAATCAAGGAAGGGGAAACTTTAAATACATCATAGAGTTTGTCCAGTATCATGCCTTTTGCGTGGGTTGTTTTAGGGTTTCCTTTGTTGTCTATCTGTGCAAGTCAAGAAAGTTTATTTCAAAAACGCGTTATGGTATTAAAATAAAATTAAGAGGATATAATGATAATATAATATCTCAGGACAATGCACACAGCGTCATTAGTCCCAAGCCTTAACTTTAACTTATTAAATGTATCTATCTATTATAATTATTGTAAAAATAATAATAGTTTGGTTCTTGATGATAATGCTATTATTGAATATATAATGATAATGCTGTAATTGATAATTATTATAATCGGGGAACGGTTAGTCTCAGTTTAATTAAATATTTCTTTAATTAGGATGTTATAGGTTCTTCCGCTACACCTTCAAAATTATTGAAGACAGGAACTACTTACTGATAAAGGTTGCTATTTATATTTTTACAGGCGTATTGATTATTATTCCAATGTTAGGTACATTCAATATGCATTAGTTTTTTCTCCTACAAAAATTAATAGAACTCATCAGAATTGTAAAAATAATATTATAAAAGTCTATTTACGCAACTTATACTCAACTGATTCAAATAAAATTAAAAGAAATTAAAGACTAAAGACTAAACTAAATATCTAACAGGGCGGCCCCTGTTCGATATTTCCCGCGTTTTGCCATATAAAAAAATAAAAATAATCTGGACATTTTTTTTTCCTGAAGACGTTTCTGATTAGAGTTACCAAAAAAGAAATTTTATGGTAATGTCAAGTGAGTACTAATTGCCCAATACATATTTAATTAACAGTATAAAGAAAGCTTCCGTTAAGTAAGTGACGTCATTTTTATGAACTGAACGGCTTTTTTCTGTTGAAGTTAAATAAATAGATTAAGTTAAATAAATATTTATTATTAATTTAATTATCTATTTATTTAAGACTATATGAAGTCGTTTTTGCTGAAATTTATAAAATCATTTCAGTTTATAAAATGCGTTCGACTGAAGGACTTGTATCCATGGCCATGAATGAAATATTATTAAAAAAACTATCAAACAAAACACTACTATGAAATTGCAGCGAATCTTATTAATTCGATAAATTTAAAAAGGTAGAACCCTAGATAGCTTATACATTTAGATGGGTACCTTTTAATTTGTTGGGTTGATAGACTTGTTGATTGTTTTGAAATTGAAACGATTTTTTTCCTTCAAAATATTATAAGGTAAATTCTATCATTTATTTCTTGTTTATTTATTTTAAATTTATTAATTGATATTTGATTGAATTTTAAAAATTAAGTAGGTATGATTATTCTAATTATACAGGTATGTTTTAACGAGATGGACTGACATTATAAGAACGGCTAACGACTGAAGAAGAATTTTATGCAGCTAACTCATTTACTTTGTCTTTGTAATATAAGCAGGACTTGTGTATATATGCCGACAAGCCGCCAAATTTCGGAGTATCCGAGTAAAATTTGCACAATTTATGACTAACTAGTTAAATATCTATTTAATATAGGAAAATGGCAATTAGATAATAATAATTTATTGAAATTGTTATGATCTTAATCAAGAATTATGTTTGTTACTCTATCACGCAAAAAGATTTTAATGAAACATTTAAGTAATATTATTAGTAAATTGCTTATTTAAAAAGTGTACAAAAAAAATGTCAGCCTTCTATTCTAATCGTTAACAGCGCGGCCTCTTAAATTTATGTATATAAAGTTGTACTCCTTAAAGATTTGAGGTACGTTGTACATGGCTTCGATGGTCTAGCGGTTTAGACACCGCCTTACATCTGATTATGGGTTTGATTCCTTGCACAGTACAAACATTTGTATCCAAAAGTATGATTGTTTGTATTAGTCTTGTTGTTTGCTATGTATATTTTGTATGTATTTACAAAAAAAAATATTTATATCAGTTGTCCAGTACCCATAACAGGAGCTCTGCTAATCTTGGAAATGGATAACGGTGTGAATCGTCCATAGTTATTATTATAATCATTGGGCAGTACAGCAAACCCAATATATATAGGTTTAATAAATAATTGGAATAAGTTTGTTAATAACAATAATAATGGTGGAGGCATAGGAGTTGTTAAGACTCCTGAGATATAGAAATCACTTTTACAGCACGGCTAAGGAGTGTTTTACATCTAAAACATTTTTTTGTTTCATGCATAACCTAAAACTGCTTATATTTTGTTTTTAAAATAATAGGTACTGGCATTTAAAAAAACGTCACACTAAAGCAAAGGCAACAGAAATGCGACGAAATTGAATAACCACTGGTGGAGGGTTAACATGTTGATTCCACTTTACAATTTGGAAGAGAGGATTGATGCCATAGTAGGTATTCCAAATGTATATAACCTGTAATTCATAAAAAATGTCACCACAGACAGACAAAGTATTTCTTTATTTATTTATTTATAATTGCACATGCATATACATAAATTTACATATGATAAATTAACAATACACATGGACTCTGTTTAAAGAGTATGGCAATTTCGTAGATGACTCATTCCCATAATAAAATTTAAAATTTAGATCTGTTGTAGTGTCCAGTTAGCTCCTATAGTACGTCTGTTAAAAATTATTTTACTGTATAGTAAGCTTTGTCGGTCAGTAGTTCTTTAAGCCTTTTTTTAAATTAATTAATTTTATCTTCTTGTTTTATGGTTTCCGGGATTTTATTATATATTTACTTTGGTGTACTGCACCAATCGGAAGGCTATAACATTTAAAGTTTGGGATACTGCTGGCTAAAAAAAGTATAGAGCTCTAGAAGATAGTTACTATGTTGAAGGTTGATAAGTTATCATAATATTTGTGTGACCTCTCATGTTACTTACAAAAATGTATGAAACTGGCACAGGGACTTGGAACATGAATATGAAGGCATTTGAATTGTACTATGTGGCCACAAAGTAAACAGAAAAGGCCAGCAAATTCAATTGTGTTCCACAGGAAAAAGAATCTTCAGGTGAGCTTTATTAATTACTGATATGAATATCAAATGATAGAACTCTTGTTTTATTTGAGTCAGTTGTATTTCTTATTTAATCAATAACATTCTTTGTCCGTACAAAACAAGTTGATGTTGTCTAAAAAAATTAAAGCTCTATTTAACTAATTGGAAGATAACAACCAGGACTAATCCATTTATATTTATTTGCCAAATATGTTTGATTGTTATTGTTATCAGAATAATAGTAATTAGTTTTGATTTTCCAAACTAATTACTATTATTCTGATAAAGTTAATTTCTTTAATACTAATAATAGTAGGTTTCTAATACTTACTATGTCGTATTTTAGTATTATGAAATCTCTGGTATGTGAAATTACAATTTTGAAAAACCTTTCATATGGCTTGCAAGAAAATTAATGGGTGATAGCAACTTGTTTGTGTCTGTGCCTGCACTATTACCCCCTGAAATTACAATGGCCCTACAACTGAAGAAACAAATGAAAACAAGTTAAGGAAGATCAGGCAATCTACAATCAGAATGCAGGCTAGTTAAAAATTAAATTAAATTAATTTTTATTTGCATATTATACAGTTAGATCATGCTAATAATATTATTGACAACTGTTTAATTACCCCAATTCATGGGCATGCAAATTTTGATGATATATAGAAAATAATGTATAGAACAAAATTTTCTGTGCCCTCCTAATAATATATACAAAATATCTTTATTCATATAGGTCTACTACAGACTCGACAGTTTGGAATGTTTTCGAGATGAGAAGAACTGACAAAAACTCAGCTTTGTTTCAAATAAATGTTGGATATATTTACAATAATACAGATTCATTTTTAAATTCAAATTTGGGAGAATAGAGTGACCACCAACCAGCATATGCTATTGCATAAGCAAAAAGTCTAATTAGTGTTCATGACCTGCTCCGACCAGATATATTTAACTTTCTTTGTTTAACAATAAAGTAAAAAACAACTGGAAGTAAAACTGCATATAAATCATATATACTAAACTGAAATTATCAATTAAAACAATGTTTTATTCCATTAAGCTCTATTAAGATTAAATATAATGTTAAGCTGTTTCATAACACATTACAATGGAAGAAGATAATATTGATAATTAATTTCAATAACACTTTTATACATACCTATATATCACATCACAAATGTAAATGTGACCATATCAAAAGAAAATGCTTTGAAAAACATTGTATTTCTATACAAGTTCTGATATAAAACTATAGAAAATAATAATAGATAAAGGTTGTATCCTAATAAAAAGTAATTTTAATCTGCTTCTTGATTTGGAATGTGTAAAATATAACTAGTTGGTGAATAATATCGTTATTTATTCAGGTTCGTAATATATAATAAAAGCTTTTAAATACATTGTTTTCTTTACTTTTGTTTACCTATTCAAAACATTGGATAATAATATAGACAGCAGCTGTTGTGACCTATCTCCAGTAAAATTCTATTGTTTTTAAACAAGGACTGGCAATATCTCCTAATAAATTTGTGTAACTTTTTAAAAAATGCAAAGATGATCATTTTATTAAAACATTTATAATTTAGATTAATTTAACATATGCATACTGTAGTTTAAAAAAGCAATTGAATATTGAATTTTGTTGAAAGTATATAATTCAATTTACAAAATACTTGAATAATAATTGTAGTCGATGGACCATCCATCAGACTGTGTGAATTACACAGTCTGATGTATGGTCCATCGACTCCCAAGCTATGCAGAGCTTATTAGGTACTAGACAACTGATACAAATACTTCATTTCTTTAGTATGTAAGGCGCTTGTAGGGGTGGATGGAAAAGCTAATACATTTTAAAAATAGTTTCATTGCCTGAATTTATATAATTGAGTTCGTGCTATTTTCTGAGGAGTTAGTCTATTCACAGAACTAAAGGTAGGTCTACTTGTGATTTTAGTTCAACTGTAGAGGTGTAATTTTAATTACAAATAAGTTGTCCATTGTTACAAAGAGAGAATCATGGTTAATTCCTGGTGAATTTGCCACAATGAACTGACTGTCCTGACTTAGTACTCATCCTATCATCCACTTTGAGACGAGTCTAAGTGTATCGATAGCATGTATATTTATATATACTGGTTATGAATGAACACCCTATTCATTCCATGTAACAATACAACAATAAAACACATTCTTTTTATAGTATTTTAATCATTTTATATGCATAACATAACAATGTAGTTCACATTACAGGACTAGGCTTAAAATGAAATCCAATTACATATTTTACTTTGCTGAGGCCTTTTCTCGTCCTTTCTTGCTATCTAAACCAGTCAATCTTTCGTCATCAGATAAATTATTGTCAACTCCAGTTGCTAAGGTTAGTTAATCTAATCTCCATTTACAGCGTTCATATTTTCATTTTATATTCAACCTATAACAAAACATAAATAATACATATAATAGTAACATGAGTGTTGCGGCTACATCAGTAGTTTACATTACATTTAGGTTCAAGTAGAGATCAATAAGTTAATTTATATTTCTAACTCACTCTCCAGTAATGGAAACACCAATAACAAATCAAATTAATGCTAGAAATGTTGGTTAGCTCGCCACTTGCCACTTTATACATATTTAGATGTACCCAGGGAAATGAGAATATATCAAGAATTATGTTACTATGACCATGATCCAGTAATATAAACAGGAAGAATTTACCATGCAATAAAATAATATGGCATAATTAGTCTAAGTAGATTTGCTGAATAATAAATAATAAATAAATAAATTTATTTATGTGGCGGAAGGTTAAATCATTATTTAAACTGTATTTAGAATTCAGAACTTACTTTGCATCTTCTCCTGGCATTAAACTTTCTTTATCAAGAATTATGAGATGCACAATCCCCTGTGATTGAGAACAAACATTTGTAACTGGATGAATGATGTGAATAGCTTTGAATGTCCACTTGCTCAGTATATAAACAGCAGCTCCAATATTATCATGAGGTGAACTGTACCAGGCTTAACCATAACCATTCCTCGTTTTATTTATTAACTCTTTATGGTGGACCAGCGCACCTAGTTGATCAGCTTGAGCTTCTTCCAAAGTTTTATGGAATCTTTCAACTCCTGTCACAGTAGTCTTCATAATCTTACCATGCCCGGTTATTTCATATTCTGTAGCATTTTTGAGTACACCTATAATCAAATAATAAATCAGTCCCTCTCCTGAAAATTATCAATAGTTAATTTCCTTGTGAATTCGCCAGAATGGGCAAATGGGCTAAAAGACTAAACTTCCTTGTATACTCCATTGTTAAACCGCCAGCGTATTTTGTTAGCATAAGCAGGCACACCAAGCCTTTACCTCGAAAATAATGAAACATTAAGATTTGAAATAGTTTGGCAATAATTTATCTTTATTGTGCTCACTAATATTACAAACTAGTGTTCCATTCCAGCCTCACACAGATGTAATTATTGTATAGTGTTGTAATTTTTTATGAGGACTATCAGGTACATAGGTAGTTGCTATCAGGGCCTGTACAACCCATTGCACATAAAAATCGAAACAGATTTAATCTCTGGTAAGTCCCAGGGTAATGGTAAGTCATGTTCTATTACCTTGTAATAAGCACTGAGTGGGGTTCCTGGACCATACCACCACAGGAGGATTCAGAACCATATCCTCCAGCTTGTTGGCTTGGAGGCTTCTACAAGTGCAGCCTGCCGGTTTCTCCTTTGAATTGATATAAGATCAAATGCAATTAATTGTTAACTGTGAAATTATCCTAACTCCGTTCACCATATATGGATTCAATATATTGATATTAGTGTTAATTCACGCTAATACAATTTGTGAGTCAGATTTTAAATTAACAGCTTTTAAAACTAATTTAAGTAAACCTATCCTAAACCTACCACAGAATAAGTTCATTGTAATAAATATAGTTTTTCAGCTTATACAGGTTCTAGCAGTTAATTTTGCAAACAGTACAACAGCACTGACCTCAAGCCTAGAGACGGATATGTTTTGATTTAGTACAGACTTAGAACAGAGTAAAGTAACATTAACATTACCTGTTCGGCAGCACGAAAATCTATCTTCTGTCGACACATTTGTACAGCACAAGCGGTAGTACTCGAGGCATCACAAATCTGTCATCATCTGCTTCTTCCATATCCCATGTATTTGGGGTGGACGTAATATGTTTTTCCCTTCCAGTCATCCCTGTTTAGAATTTTTTCAGAAATCTACAATTTTAATATAACAAGCATTACCCAAACTTGCATAGCTCGGTACATTTAATATGGACATGTCACGCAGTTTTAGCAACTCATCAGGCAGCTGTGATTGCCATGCAATTTGTGCTTGCCCAAAACCTGGGCATTGTCCACAATAAGTCCAGCTAACCAAGCATAAAATTGCCCAAAACAACTTACAATTTTATGCTTAGTACAAGGCATGATCATTATTTTTTGGATATGAAATCATAAATGAATCTGTATAATTGATACCTAGTGCTTTAAGGTAGTGATTGTCCCTTTCTAAATCAAAATTTTAATAATTTGAGAACCATTAGTGAAGTTGAAAGCTGCCTATCTCTAATAGGGAAAGAAAATTTGACTCAATTATGAACTCAAGGATTTGTTGTGATTCAAGACAAGAATGACATTAACAAAGACATAATTATAAATAAATATATGCAGCCAATGGATATTCCACTTTATCTTTATTGGCTAACTCCTTTAGGCAACTTGTGGGCAACTAGGATAGGTTTTAAGCCCATATGTAACAGTATTTAACTGTATACATTGCATAGTATCCTTAGAGGCATATCTTCATAGGATATTCTGTAAAGATCTATGCTTAGAATTTAACAGGATTTGTCTAAACATATTTTTAATACATGTTACAAGAATATATTATATTTTGTAGTTTAAAGCAATAATACTATCTCTATTACTTCTTTTTGGACCATGCAGCAGGACATTCTATTGGCTTATCATTCAGAGAGTCTTTTTGATCTTGATTGACACATAAAACACTGCATGTCACTTGGTAGTTCATTTATCCAACCTACTGCAATAACTGGCAAAAAATAGACAGGATGAGAAGACGAGTCATGTTGGTATTGGTCGTATATAGGCATGAATATTTTTATTATATAGATCATGAAGTAAATATCTTTTTGAAATGTAATTTTTAGATTTCGAAACCATTTCATGGCTAAATTACAGGAAATCCCAAGTGTTTTCTTTATAGTTTCTAATGGTAACTTAAGGAAGCAGAGAAACTATTGTATTGTATTGACTATGAAATTTTACAGATTCACAAAATATTTTTTACAATGGTCATGTTCTGATAAATATTCTGAAAACACTACAGAAAAACAAGACATTTCCAAACCAGAGATGAGTATTATTGACTGTGTGAATTTTGAAATGTTAGAACCAAACCTGCAATAACATGGCTAAATTGAGTATTAAGGACACGAGGTTGAAGTTTACTCGTGCCGTCTTTCTATAGCAGCAACACATGAATGATAACATGACGCTCAGAGGGCAGGAACACCTGGGAGAAGATATCAGCCAATTATAATATATGCATGTTACTTGGCATATAAAATCCCTGTCGGCTAGTGTCAGATTAATATTAAATTACTATACTACTAATTTAATGCATTTTTGTGGATAACATGGCATATGGTTAAAATGCTTAACTATTTTGTTATTATGACCAATACCTATTTCTGGGGTGCAAATTATACTTGTGAACCACTGTCAAGCAATGTTTTCACATGCACTTCAGTTCCATTGTTCTTTGTTTTACAAACTGTTGTTTATTTGATTTGCAGCTGTCATTAGTTTAAATTTTGAACAAATAATTTATTTTACATTTCAACCTACATTGAGTGCAGGCTGTTGGCGGCGGTGCTGACTTCCTGGATGTAGATCCTGGCAAACCAATGCTGGTTGCAATATTGGTTGCCTTCGGAGACTACTGCACCTATAGCTCTGCAGCATTCTCAAGTACAAGGGCTCATTTCCCTAAGAAATCAATAAGGGTATTGACAGTAGGTTTATGATACCCAATGGGTTGAAATTCCCTATATCTAACTCATAATACACATCCGATTTTCTTTCAAGAATGCACATTATAAGAGGGTCCCAATTGTCAATGTTATAATTGAAAATTTTCAATGTAGTTAATTGCTTGATTGCAAGCTGTTGATTTTGTTTTTTATTACAAATTGTCTTGTTTATATATTTATTTTTAGGAAGATTAATGGTGTAATTTTACATGTTTTGTATGTATGTTATTTTGTACAAATTAGCTTAGAAACATTTTAATAATTGTTTTACTTCCTGGTAACTTGCTGACACTATTGGTAGGTTTTTTTTATAATTTCAAGTGGCTCACCTTGTAGGAAACATCGTAAATAAAACATTCTTGGTTCTTGTCGACAACTGCATTGAGTCCAATGAAGGGTGTATACTCGGAGAACCATGTTTAATTTCATGATGGTAGTTAGTTGACTGTGTAGTCTTGGTAATAAAAACAATAAAATTGTTAAGAGGTTTATAGTAGTATTTTTAATTAGGCGAAGCCAAAGAATATACTACTCAAGAGGGCGAAGCTAACTGACAGTAGCTAATGTCACGTTATGAAATAATGTTGCCATATTTAAAGTAATAGTGATGCGTTCAGTTCTCGGTCAGATGAATGAACAATGAGTGTGAATAGTTAATCATTTCAAACTACAAAATAATATTATTTCTATTTTACAATAAAGTTGTATGAAAGTGTTCTGATATAAGTTACTAGTGTTATGTAACTACAATCAGTTATTTGACAGCTTATTACAAAGCGCGCTGTGGCACTAGTAGCCATTAGTGCCAACACGTCATCGTCAACGTCGCGAGCGTCGGTCGTCATTTTGTTCGTAATTCGGCTTCTAACCTCTGGTCTGAGAGCACGAATGCTTTTTTTTGCGCTCACACTGTTTTGTTATTGTTTTTGATAATTTTTTCCTTCTGTTGTGTTTGTTGTAATAGTGTATATTGTATATTTGCTATATTGTTTCGTACCAATGTATTCTCCTCATGGATGGATGGAAATGGATCCTCAACCATGCATGTCAAGCCAAAGCTTGTCTCCAAGAAAGAAGAGACCACGGATTGCTTTAAGCGTTACCGAAAAACTTATGATACAAAACGTCTACAAACACGTATTTGAGGAGAAAGTTGCATCACTATTACCTATTGAGGCTCCCGAAAAAAAATAATGTATTTCAAAAACAGCTAACTTTTTGGGAATTGGTGTGACCTCAGTCTACAATGTGTTAAAAGAATACAAAGAAAATGAACAATTTCAGTCTCTGGAGAAACGTGGACCAAAACACTGTTTCAAAGATAAATTATTGTCAATTTTTCAGACAGATTTATAATTAATGTCACCGAAAGCAACAATGATTTTTTTATCTGATGATGAATAAAAACAAACTTTGTAATAAGCCAAGTTTTTTATTTTTATTACCTAACTATATTATGTTAGATATTTTATACATCTATAGTTTTAACTACATGATGTATTGTAAATAGGACAGTCTTAAAAGTTTCCTCGCAATTTTTTTCTTCATGTTTCAAATACTCTGTATTCAGTATAGGTAGATACTAGAGGAACATAGTTGTCGAAAACTTGTTGGTATGTATAAAGCACAGCTAAAATTCGAACCCCGTACCCGATATCGGCAGTTCGTAACACTAACTATTCACTAGACTAGACAATTGAGGCAATTCCATTAATTCAGGATTTTTTTCAATTATTCACTTTGTCACAACACTATTTTTATTTTATCAAATACTGACAACACAGTAAACGTCAGTTGACTTCGTCTAATTAAAAATACGACTATAGACACAGACATCTCACACAGAATTCCCATTACAGTCGTAAACATCACTATTCTTTATTTCGTTTGTTTGATGTAAATCACAGAGTACTTTATTATATATATATAGGAAAATGTAAATTTAACTTCGTTCCTACTTCAGACCACTATCAGGATTTTAGCAAATTTTATGTAGATTTGGCATATTTTTACGTTGTTTAGCATATTTATTTTTCTTCGGCATCTAACGTATGTTTATAAGAATTATTATGACTTATTATCATTACATAATATAAAATAGAGTCGCTGTCGCTGTCTGTCCCTATGTATGCTTACATTTTTAAATCTACGCAACGAAATTAAAAGCAGAATTTTTAAATAGATAGAGTGATTCAAGAGGAAGATTTATATATATAATACATGTACACCCGTGCGAAGCCAGTGCGAGTAGCTAATAAAATTTAACAATGAAATAAACAATAGACACGAAATAATTCCACTGACAAAAGTTTGTCCCTATCGCACTTACAAGTTGGTATAAAGGGACAAGACTTTTGGCAGAATAATTTTTATCCTGTTTCAAAATTATTAAGATTACCTTTGCCATTGTCGGCAATCTGTCAATCAGCGACAATATAATTGATTAAAACATAAAATATATTTAGTTAGTTGATTATTAAACATTTAAAATTAAATAACGTTTTATTTGACCTTGAAAAAGTTAGCATATTTTATGGCACTATTTTCTAACGGCATAATTTTTTTAGTAGCAACTTAGCAAATTTTCTATTAGTCATGTTGGCAAATCTGTTTCGAACTCCGTCTTCCAGTTACCTAAATTTGATTTTGGCGAATAGGCATTGTGCCAATGCTAGTAGCAAGCCAAGTGAAACCTAAATGCATTAATAAAAAAAAAACGCAAAGAAGCAGCCATTTCTGCGTACCGTGAGTCTACAGTTTTTGTGCTGTGTATTTAATTATTCGTCATTTTAGTACAGTAAGATGAACTCATTTTAATAGTATCTTTTCACTATTTATAATTATTAATAATAGTCAATATGGCTATTTCATCTGAAATTTCGAGATTTTTTAGTCTCTACGTGACTCATGTGGATTGTGAGGGACATTTTCTGAAAATAAGTGGGCAGCTTGATAGGCAACCAGCATTGATGTTAAAATCTCTATTTGAGAGCGTCTGTGATAGTCTTGATAGAGGGATTGGAGTGCTTTCCCTGGCAGCCCTTCGAGAGGGCATTGTATGCGCAGTGAAGTACAGAGACGGTGTTTACTATAGAGCAAAAATCATTAACACGGACAAGTTAGCTACAGGTGTCGTTGGTGTACATTTTATCGATTATGGTAACAAAGAAGACATTTCTACACATACCATCAGATTTCTGGATAGTTATGATGCAATATTTTTGCAAATGCCTGGTCAAGCTACTGATTATTATCTTTCAAGAATTATGCATCCTTCAGGAAAATGGGAGGAATCATTTATCCATAAACTTCAAAATTTACTCTGTTATAATGAATATCCAGTTACAATTGATATACAAACTCGCGCACTGTCTATTATTTCGGTTCAGTTCAAGGGTACTGATTTATCTACATACCTTGTAAGAAATAGATCAGGTATTTCTATTCCATTAAATAATCAGGAGGTGTCACTTTTACAAATGTCTGTTTATAATCAAGTATCAAATTGGCAGCAAGCTTCCTTTGGAAATGAACTACCTGCATATACTGAACATATACCATTTTTAACAAATGAAAACCTTCCTATTAATCCTGCATCACCAATTTATTTGCAACAAAATCTTGCAATTCCATTCAATGTCCCTGTACTATCTCCTTCAATGATCAGTCAAAGATATATGGTTAACCAACTACTAAGGAATTCTGGAAATCTTATACCTTTATACCAATCTCAACATGGGGCACCAGTGGCAACACCATCGGCAGCACCGACAGTAGAACCGATGGCAGGACCGTCGGCAGCACCGATGGCAGGACCGTCGTCAGCACCGACAGCAAGACCGTCGTCAGAACCGACAGCAGGACCGTCGTCAGCACCGACAGCAGGACCGTCGTCAGCACCGACGGCAGGACCGTCGTCAGCAACGACGGCAGGACCGTCGTCAGCACCGACGGCAGGACCGTCGTCAGCACCGACGGCAGGACCGTCGTCAGCACCAACAGCAGGACCGTCGTCAGCACCGACAGCAGGACCGTCGTCAGCACCACATGATCTTACAGATGACAACTCACTTTCCCCAAAGAAATCCACTGCATACAAAACCACTTTCCAGGAAATCAACTCTCGACACAGAGTTTGTGTAACATATGCTGAAGAAGGACCTGAGCTTTTTACAGTGCAGTTTGTTCAAAATGCAGACAAATTCGAAAAAATGATGGAAGATATAAATGATCTGCCACACAATAGTCTTACAGAACCACCGATGATTGGTACAGCATGCCTCGCTAGGATACCTGAGGACAGGATAATTTGTCGAGCAATTGTTATGAATTTATCGGGGTCTCAATGCAAACTCTGTTTTGTTGATTTTGGTGATATTGAAATGGTGTCTTATTACGATATATTTGATATCCCTGAAGAGTTTGTAAAGCTTAATGTTTTTGGCACTAGGTTCTGTTTATCTGGACTGAAAAGGTTAGAGAGGAGTCCACAGCTCACTGATACTTTCAAACAATTAGTGACGGGGAACATACTTACATTGCAAGTTGTGGAACCCGAAGGTCCTCCATTGATTCAATATGTAGAGTTGTATTTGGATAATAAGAATGTTCTAGATCTTTTAATACAAAACATGAAAGATAAATTTCCATTCAAGCGTATGAATATGCTGTCTTTAAGATCAAAAAAATCGGTCATAGTGTCATATGTGGACAGTTGTATAAAGTTTTATATCCACTTGTCAGACATGCTTACTGTCCTGAATGAAATAAAGAATACAGTGAGAGAACACTGTGAGAACAGTTCTTCACCTGGAGAGTTGCCTGTGGGTGCTGCTTGCTGTGCAAGATTTCCTTATGATGACAATTGGTATAGAGCAAGAATCACAAATAAAAGGGGAAGCAAAGTGATAGTGGCATATGTAGACTACGGTAATGAACAAGAAGTTAATATATCAGATCTCAGAACTATTACTCCAGACCTCATGAGAACACCTGCACAGGCTATAAAATGTGCACTGAAGGTAAATATCTGGTTAATAAATACTTAATATTCTCTTATATTATTCTACATATATATAAATGTATATGTTTTTCTAATTAGGGCTTCTTGAAAAAACCAAATGAGAGAAAGACATCACAATTGTTCGAAAATCTGGTTCTGGAAAAGACTTTGATGGCTCAAATTGTTGGTGTACTATCTGGTGACACCATAATAGTTTCTCTTTTTGATGAAACTGTTACTCCGCCACTAGATGTGGCAAAGAAGGTGACTCAACTTTCAAAAGCACGCGGCAGCAATGAGGTAAGTGATTAAAGTATATTATACTTTTACTATTCATTTCTGCTTGGTTGTTTCATATTTCGGCAACTTAAAGATAGAATGCAAGGCTTTTGAAAGCCTTTAGCTACTAAATAACCTGTCCATAAATTTCAATTCATATATTATAAATTGAAACTATAGAGTTCTTATTTTACCAATATATTATTATACATAAAGATTTCATCTTGTAGGAAAATAAAACAATGATATCACAATGATATTTATATTTTATTTTAAAATTTCATATGGTTTAAAAAATAGATAAAATAGATATTATTCTGAATGGATTTAAATTAAATTTGATTAACACAGTAGTTTATATATTCATCTAAGTCTTGGGATACAATTAAATAATAAAACATAGTCAGATTTCTCTACATGGACATAAAATAGACTTTTTATATAAGTAGATATACCATATAATAATGTTGTAATTATTATAGGTAGCTTTCCTTTATAGTGTGTTTGACATCTATAATTATGTTGAACACTGACATTATGAAACAATGACTTAAATGTAACACTTAATAACATTTCTTATAGCATTCATTTTGGCAATAGAATAATGATGTATGAAAATTAATGTAATGCGGCCACTATTGTGTATGTATATGAACAGCACTACGGCATCATGTCATTATCGTGTGATTCGCGTGATGCTCTTCAAGGGTTGCTATTTTTTTATACGATTTTTTTTATTGATGATGATGGAATGGTATTTACACCTGCGCTAACGGTTTCCGCTGACGGGGTATAAGTGGATGATAAGATTAGTATGAAGTCAGGTCAGTTAGCCCATCGTGATAAATTTCAAGGAACTTTTCACGATGGTTTCCAGGGGAAACAATAAGAGGTCAACCTAACATGGTACATTCCTAGCGATGGGTTCCTCAATCGACATTATTAACAATTCCATTCCCCCCATTCCTGAGGACTATGAGATGTCATGATCTGTAATTTTACTGCTCTGTTTCACACTTCCAAGAGTTCACAGATACGTACCCACGCAGACAACTTTGTACAAAGTATAATAATAATTATATTCCTGGCCAATTCACACAGCGCCATCTACTTACAAGCTAAGCAGTGCTTGTGTTAGGGGAACTCGACAACCGATATAAATATAATACTTAGATAGATTTTTTTGTAAATACCAACATACATAATATACATTGAAATCAACCACAATAATCATTCTCATGAATACAAATGTTTGGATCGTGCGAGGAATCGACCCTGCGACCATCGGAAGTAAGTGATGTGCTAAACCGATGGATCACTGATGCCGTCAAAAGTATACTTCGGTGGAATATTTCTGTGTTAGCAACATTTTAATTATTTAAACGTGTTGTATTTATTATGTAACACAATATAAATTATAAATAGGCAAGAGTGACTACTCCAAGTCGTTATGAAGCACCTGACACCTTCAGCTCTCGAAGAAACGAGGAGTTTGCAGAAGGAGCCGGCAGCTCTCGTGCCGGGTGAGTATTAATTCTACAGGATCATGGCTGATGTGTGTGTGTGATATCACATTATATTACTATAGTAATTAAGGGTAGGTGCCCTTCATTACTATAGTAATATAATGTGATATGTATTGTAGTAAAATGTTAGTTACTGTCTACCCACTAATAAAAAATATATTATATTTAAAGTATCACATTTCAAACAGGAATATGTACATTTTCCATGGTTTCTATATTAAAAAAAAATTTTCTTTAAAAAATATACTGATGTATAAAAAAAACTAAATATAATATCATTCAGCTTATAATATTATCTCATTTGTTTTGAATTTAAAATAGTCATGCTTGCTTAAATTTCAAACTTATGGTGTCGTGGTGGACAGGGTCAATGTGCTCCCTCTAATATAGTTGAGTGCAATGATGGCTGCCTCATCCGTCATACTCCTGAACGGGTTTTGCTTGCTGGTCTGTTCAGGTTATGAACACTGATTACATTACACTTGCTTTTGATAAAATTGCAATAACTTATGCTGGTTGTCATTCTATTCTCCCAAATTTGAATTTATAAATGAATCTGTATTATTGTAAATAATTTTTGAAAAGATTACGAGCTGACTTTGTTGTCAGTTCTTCTGATCTCAAAAGCAGCCCGAACTGACTGTAGATTTGACATATCATAAGTGTCTGTAATAGACCTACATGAATATACTTTGATTTGATAGTTGTTTACGATACGTTATTTGAATTATTTCATAGATATGATGTTTTGTTATCTTCAATTTCGGAAGACCGTGCATAGATGAATATTTGTTATTCTCGGCCAAAAACTATTGGATGGATTTGAATGAAATTTCGTACAGAGATAGTTCATATACTTTATTACTATATAGGATACTTTTACCCGAAATCATCCAGGTATCGGTATACTGTTAGTATTCCATGAGTGGAGAAATCATATTAATAAATATTTTAGGCGTGAAGAAAATCCATGGGATATGGCAGATAACGCCGCGACAGCGTCTGTATCGACTCCTGACTATAATTGGCCGGATATCCCATCTCAGTCCACCTTCCAACCGCCTCTCAGTCGACCATATTACCGTGATAATAATAGGAACAGGTAAGTGTATAGTTTTATAGGATCACGATTATGACTATAAAACGGCTAAGCAAGCCTATTGATGTGCCCACGTAATCTAAAGACATTCAATAACAATTTAAGATATTTGTCAAATTTAGACGATGATCCTTGTTTGTAATAATTTAATAAATTATATTATCTTGTAGACAAAATATACGCCTAATAAATTTTGGTTTATTGAAGTCGTGAATAGCATCTAAGTCTGGCGAAGATACAATGTAATACACATACTAGGCCCAAATTATAAATACCTTATAGACTAACATACATATGAATTAATATTATAATACTAATATATTGAAATCGATTATGTGGTCACGGCACTGACGACGGCAATTTGCTACGGTAGCGCCGATACACCACCTCCATCTGACAGTAGTCCTCCTTCATGAAGGTGGGCAGCATGTTGGTGGGGATCCGGGCCACAAACGCCTTGAGACTCGACTCCAGCTGCGTCACCCTCAAAGTCAGGTTACTCCTGGTCCGTATATAGTCGACAGTGTCCTGCTCCTATATAATGTTTATCATGCATTAATCAATCAACACGCGCTTGAATGTCAAAGGATTCTGATATTGCAATTTATATACACAATATAGTAAGGTATACCTAATAATATGCAATAGAGAAACTTAAATTGGTAATCTACATAACTTCAACAGAAGAAAACCTAGGTTGGATCACATCATCACGATAAACCCGGTCCATAGTCCGGATAGAAGAATAAGGATACAACTGGACTTGACAAAAGGCTAACACAGGCAGCAGAGGCTGCCTCTTTAGACACCCTGAACACCCATCAAAAAGGTGCAAGATAGATTAAAACGGTACTGGTGTTGCTGGATACACCTGGAGATTGCTGGAGAGGAGCCTGAGCCTTTCGCCTCACTTTCAATCCTCATCCCATATTAATGCAATTAATCGTAATAAGCTTTGTCATATAAAAAAATAACTCTTAGTATCTTTTTGCAATAACAAATTTCTTATTAACATTTAATACTCTTAATTTTGAGAGACTCTAAGAAGCACAAAAAAAGCATTAGACCCATAGAAATAGTTACTAATTAAATCTACTCATTATAGCTTTGTCTGTAGACTTTTTTGTAACATTTAAATAGGTGCACGTATGAAATTTTCATCCTTATATTCTGATGTTGTAGTTCAAGAAGTATAAGAAATACTAGATGTTAAAATAAAAAAAATAAGTATTACACGAACTAGTAGATCTTAAATTTTGAATTGATGAATACTGGAAAATAGATGCTAATATGCTTTAATGTCTGCTCGCAATTGTATGAAAATTGCCAGCAGACATTCATTTATTAATCTATAATAAGTATCAGTTTTTAAGTGAAGCATTAATATTTGTATTAGCATTGGTCTTGTTGTCTCGCCCTATTTCCTTGGTCACGCTTTGTTAGCCAACGCACTTTGAGCTTTCTGTCTATTTGCTGGCTTTTGATTTTATTATAATTAATTTATATTGCACTATGTATATTTATGTTTGCAGCACATGTTTTGTTTATTTTTGCATTTGCTACTTATATTGTATATACATTTTTCTCTCTATAGTTGCTTAGTGTGGTGGTACCATTTAATGTTATCTACTCAATTACATTTATTAATTTTACATTGTTTGTGTCGTGTATCTATATATAATAAGTGCATTATATTCCACAAAAACAAATCAACTATCAATATGACCAAAAATGTTATGGAACCAGTAAGGCAGTAAACCCTAACGATTCCGAAAAGAAATATATAAATACGCTCAATCTAAGCTTATTTATCTATATTGGAATATATACATACATTTATTTAAAAGCTTTCTTTGGTTGGGCGGTTCGGTTTAAAATATTTAATAATGTCATTCTTACTATATAGCATTTTCATTTTGCAAAGCTATAAATTTAATATTGCAGTAATGCGAATGGATGTTTACAATATAGTCTTGTATTATATCAATAGAATAGACTCATCTGATTCTATTGATGTACTATTTGTACTGATTGTTGATGATTCTATTGATACTGTTCACACATATGAATAGAGAGCATCTCTGTTCACATGTGGTACTTTAGAAACCATACATACTGTGGTGGTTTTCAATTAAAATAAAAAAATGGTGATGGGATAACTATTTACTGCATCTATTCCTATCTGTAATATAATATTCGATTTTATGTCAATGTAAGTGTATAGCTTTGCATAAATTACATAAGAATATATAAGCTAAAGGGGAATACAATCCTCTTAATCCTAATGTTCGACTAATGTGATAATATTATTTGCAGTGATGTTGGCTTTGACCAATATGAAGATATCAGAAGTGATGACTGGGGAAATAGAAACAGGGAGAATAGTTCAGACCGTAGGGAATTCCGGGGTGAGAGAAGAGTCTATTGGGAAGACCAAAATGAAAATTGGAATCCTAGGAGGGAATTCGGTGAAAACAGACAACAGGGCGACATGACACGAAGTAACTTCACACAAAGAGAACGCGTAGAGCGCTCCTTGAATTCTGAGTTTGAAAGGCGTTACCGTTCTCAGGAAAGCGGCCGACGAGAGCGATACGGTGATGCTCCGGCTTACAATACTCGAACCAATTTAAATAGAATACTATATAGAGAGTTACAAGATCCAATTCCCTTAGAGACTCGCTTTATTGAACCACCAGTCGAAGTTGGTGCCCAATGCGACGTATCAATTTCATGGATAATATCTCCGGAAAATTTTTACGTAGAATTATTATCTCTAAAACCGAAATTCATCGAAATGATGCATAAAATACCTGGATGGTATAAAGGTGTGAAATGTTATACTGGAGTACTGCCCGTGGGAGCATCAGTGTTGGCGCGGTACCCTACTGACGGAGTGTTGTATCGTGCTACTGTGCTTGCTGTCCAGTCGCCCTCACAATTTATAGTTAAATATGTAGATTTCGGAAATAAGCATTTGGTGGAGGCAAAAGATATATGGCAATTGAATAGACAGTTAATGGAGCTCCCTAAGATAGCTGTTCATTGTTCTCTATTGGGGGTTTCACCAAAGGACGGGGCATGGAAGGCGAGCCCAGAGTTAGATCACTGTTTCAGTGCATCTCGATATCAGTGTGTGTTCCAAGACTGCTTAGAGGACCAACAGTACATTGTAACTCTTTGGAACAATGGCGCTAGCGTTGCAGATACGCTCGTCGAGAAAAGTCTGGCTGCATTGTCTGAACATCAGTCACCTGTTACTTTGAGAGGTTATCTTATATATATATATACTTATTGTTTTCTGTATTTTATTATGTACCTTTGCAAACAACAAGCGGCTAAAACTCACGTACAATGGCAAATTTAGGCTTTAGCGAAAACATGGACATCACTGAACAGTATTGTATGTACTCTATTTAGTTTTTTAGTACATAGCTGTTTAATGGCAATACAGAACCTCCTTTTAATGTATCATTTTTAACACTCCGAATCAAGAAATCAAATGAAAACGAAAGCCATGAATATCGATGAATGTAACTATAACAGCATGTCAGTAAACTGTGGCTGTCATTACGTAAATTATTAACTAACTGAAAAGAAAAATGTACCTAGTTTATTTGATTTTTCTTTAAGCTACGCGAACTGGGCGGTACTGATATTAATTAATAAACAATTTTAATGTGCGTAAGTGGCAATAAATTTCCTATGTTATCTTATTAGTACTCTAAATGCGAAAGTTTGTAAGTATGGATGTTTGTTACTCTTTCACGCAAAAACTACTGAACGGATTTTGATGAAATTTTGAAGTAATATATGTGTTTTTCTGATGCATAAGGCATCAGAAAAACACAGAGGCTATATTTTTTATTGAATTTTAACGCGGGCGAAATGCAGGCACCTTTAGTATAAATGATGTTTACTTGGAAGATAAGAATTCTATGTTTTCAGATGAAATCATCGATCTGTCAATTATCGTGGGGCAACAAATTTTATGCAAAGTCACCCACGTGGAGTCATTCGAAAAATTCTACGTCCAACTAGATTTAGACAAAGCAGCTCTAGTAGAGAGTGCCATCAATAACTTGGATGAGTCAAAAGTAAGTTTATTTTTATTAGCCAAGTTTTATTTTTATTTATAGCACAGGCAACAAACGATCATGCGGGTCACCTGATCGTAAGTGATTACCGCCGCCCATGAGCACTCGCAACACCAGGGGAATTGCAAGTGCGTTGTCGGGAATAAGCTCTTGACGGTTTCAATACCGTATCGGTTTGGGAATACCATTGCTGGAAGGTGATTCCACAATGTGCGTGGCAACACTGTAGAGAATTGCCAGTCATCCAGTTGATTAGGATGTTATTTTAGGTTTCTGGCGGGTGGTACGATGGTGAAACTCAGCAACTAATTCACGGATTTCACATGCACCCACAAACTGGCGAATTAACTGCGCATGCGTTTAGTAATAGTTTGTTATTCAACGAAGCACTATATCGTTTTTTGGGTTGAATACAAAAAATTTTTTTGTAAATTTTTCTTAGTATCTAGGTACTTATTTACCTTTATATTAGTGTAAGTATTTCACGCTTATAGTTGGAAATTGCCAACCTTTTCGACGATAAACATAGCGCCGTCTGCTCTACGTGTTTATATTTTTTGCCTTGCCATGATCTACTGGACCAATCTGAATCGATCGACCTGTTGGCCACCCCTGCTCTATACTCTATATTCTAAGTATTATCTTGTTTTAGTTTACTCCATTATCAGCGGGCATCATCGAGGAAGGCATTCATTGCACATTGAAATACGAAGGCAAGATATACCGCGCTATTCTCCGTGATATAGCAGATACGGCTAACATAAAAGCTGAATTGCCTGATTATGGAAATAATGTGACTACAACTTTGGAAAACGTAAGTACACTTATATATATTTAAATGTACCATCTCAGGATGACCACCACGCGTTTCCCATTGGAAACTATAGTTGTAAATTGCCACTTACCAATTTGACTCGTGCTTATTTTATCATCATACGGGGCATCACCAGGCCCCGCCACCGTTAATCGTTAGCGCATGCGGATGTATCATTCTATTAACATCCATAAAAAAAATATAAAATATTTTTTGTTTGTAAAAAATAAAAATAAACTAGCCCCATTTGAAAAAAATCTTTGTCTACTTCTCAATGAGTTCAACACACTGTACTTCTGGCCGACAATGATACCACTATAGAAATATAAAATGGTACAAGTTTAAAATACTTCAGTTTCAAGTAACACATTTTATAATTTGTCGTAGCTTATGATATTGCCAAGTGAGCTGCGTGTATACTACTACCAATCACTGGAATGCAAATTAAACAACCTCACAACAGAGTCTAAGATGCTACTATCACTTGATGAACTTAAGGAACGTCTCACAGCTAAAAAATATATTATATACATCAATGATTTACAGGACATCAGGTATTGTCTTAATCGTCATTTTCATTGCATTCACATATATCAAAGATAAATATCAACCAAAATATAGGTCTTTTCTAAAGCTTTCTTTCTTGGTCTGAAGCACATTCTGTGATTCCATAGACAGTCATAAATCATGTGACGAATAACACTAAGCTACACTTAGCATGAAGTTAGGGTCTTACTAATTTAAATATTTCGTAACCATGTCTTGTATTTGTTCCAACTTTAAAAGATAAAACCCATATGGTTATAGCACTATTTTATTATTCTGAAATTTATCACGTTTTTAGAGACTGATAGATGTTAGTCTAACTCGCATTTTACCGGATTTTTTATATATTATTTTCCGCGTCAACGACATGTCTCTATAATGTTGTTACATATGTAATTATCAATATTTTTTAGTTTGGTATCAACACTATACGACAGTGTGACTGGCCAGAAAGTGGCCATATTTGAGCCAGATGAAGGTGCATATAATGAAGTGGTCCAGCTCTGTACGACATCTGTTTTTAATGACAATTTTGGACTGGCATACATATCTCATTTCGAAAATCTAAACGAATTTTACCTTCAAAAGTCTGCTGATCGTAACAAGATAGCACTGTTACTGACTGATCTATACAAATTTTATGAAGAAGGTAATTAATCATAAAATACATTATTTTAGTACCCCTCATAATGTAATATTCAGTTTCTGAAAATTTTTGCTTTGATGATACTCAGATTGTGGAATAAGTAGTCTTACTTTTCTGTAGAGAATACAGCCTGGATTTTTAATAATAAAGCATATGAGAGTTTCTAAATGAGTGACAACATGCCTATTACATGCCTGGTGGTTTCACCATCATTGGGCTGTATGCTATATAGTTTATATGGTATTACTTGCTAATCCACCTGCATTTGTAGGTAAGGAATTCCTCTAAACGTAATAAGAGTTATCCAATTAGGGATTTAAACTTGTCTGGACAACCTAAACTATTTGGTCTGTATTAAGTCTAAGTTAAATCTGTATTATATTTAACTTTTTGTCATTCCTAGGAACTCCAGAAGATCTTACAAGCTTTGAAGTGGACGGATTATGTGCTATTAAATTTAAAGACGGGAACTGGTATCGCGCAATCATTATCAGTGTTGAAGAAAATGATCTCCGAGTTCAATTTCCAGATTATGGAAACAGTGAAACAGTACCTAAAACAGGTGTCAAAAAACTTGACAGTAAATTCTATGAACCTTGTGCACTTGCCCTTGTTGCTAGTTTAGATCTTGTTGCCCTTCAAGAAGACGCATTAGCCAAACTAACAGAATGGACCAATGAAAAAGAGGTTCAAGTCACTTTATCTTTCGGTAACAATGGTTGGCTTGCAAGCTTACAGTTAGATGGTACAGACTTATCTATGAAACTTGTGAATGAACAATTAGCCACTCAACAAATAATATCCAACGATGAACCAAAAATTGATGCTACAGGAGAAGAACAAATTTCATTACCACTTGGCTGTAATCAAGTGTATATTAGTCACATTGATACACCAGGGCAATTCTGGCTACAGATGATTGATAAAATTGACAAAATAAAAGAAATTCAAGCTGAACTTCAGAGTAATGCAGCAACATATACGGATATCGAAAGTCGTGAACTGGGCACTTTGTGTGTAGCGAAATATTTAGCTGACGACCAGTGGTACCGCGCCGAAATACTTTACTCTGATTCTGATACCACTACTGTACGGTTTATTGACTATGGTAATACAGATGTATTGGGCAACCAACCTGGTTTAATAAAAGTTATACCAGATAAACTGAAAGATATTGAGTGTTACGCTGTTAAAGCAAGTGTTAATGCTGTACCAACTGGCATGAGACAGTGGTCTGAGCTTGCATCAGGGTACTTCATTCAACTTGTTGGTGATATATCATCCCCTGTAGATGCTCTAATAGTCATGAAAGATATCACTACTTATGTTGACTTAATTGTTAATGGTATCAATATTACCGATAAGTTAGTATCTGAAGGGTACGCCATGAGGCTTGAGAAAACAGAAAAAAATGTTTTAAATGACATACCAGCAGAGGAGCTAGTTAGTGAGAGCACTTTTGAAACAGATCTGGATGAAAGTATTAGTAGCACTGAGACAGTTATAGGGAATAAGTGTTTTGAAGGTATTATTGACGTTTTAAATGACGACGTAGCTATTGAGACAAGTGGAGCGAAAGAATCAGATTCTACAGAGAATTCGCCAGATAAGAACATTTCATCAGAAAATCTGGAGAAAAAAAATTAAACACAAAGTCTAGCGAACACTCCACTTAAAAATGTTTCCACAGATACACTGTGAAATTTATCAGAAAAGATACATATTCAGAAACTACAGACAAAAAAACTATCTATTCTCCTGAACGTGATGAATCGAAAGATTACATTAATACAGATATAGGTTATACCAGTGATGATAATCATGCTAAACTGTCATCCTCTGCAAGTTACTGCTGCTAAGGAATCATCATGATGGAATCAACGACTAAAGATCTAGTTGCAGTTACAAAGAATAAATCAGACAGTGTTCAAGGTGAATAATTAAATTTGTAAAATTTAATTAATTCCGTATAATATGATCTCATATATCTCACTACGAGACAAATTTACTTATACTACACTTGACTTACGTACATTTGCATAAATAATTTTATTAGTTTAACTAAACTTAGTTTTTAGATTGTAAGACTAGTATACAGTAAGTTGGAAAACTAATTGACTGATATATTATAATATTGTAGTTTTTACGTTCACCTATTTTTTTTACATCATTGTATTTGAAATATGTCTCATGTACTTTTGTCTGTCACTAATTTGTGATTTATAAATACTATTTTTTATAATTTTTTATTCTTGTTACACAAGAAATTTTGTTATTTTTATTTTGTTATATCTCTATAATTTATTCTATATAATTTAATAAGTCGCATACATTTAAAATGGACAATTTAGAAAACCTATAGATACTCATTTTCATGTCATATATATTGATGTCGTAAGTACTAACTACTCATACAACTGACTGTTTTGACTGCAATGTGAGTAGTTTTATAGTACTCCCAAAATTGATTTAGTAATAAGAACTCGGGAATTCCTAATAATGTAGTAATTTTTTTATTAATATAATTTGTATCGATGTCTTAAGTACTAACTACTCTTACAACTGACTGTTTTGACTGCAATGTGAGTAGTTTTATAATACTCTGAAAATTTATTTAGTAATAAGAACTCTGGGATTTCTTATAATTTAGTCATTTTTTTATAAATATAATTAGTATCTATGTCTTAAGTACTAACTACTCATACAACTTACTGTTTTGACTGCAATGTGGGTAGTTTTATAATACTCTCAAAATTGAATTTAGTACTAAGAACTCTGGGATTTTTAATAATATGGTCTACTTTTTATGATAATAATATGTATCAATGTCTTAAGTACTAACTACTCTTACAACTGACTGTTTTGACTGCAATGTCAGTAGTTTTATAATACTCTGAAAATTGATTTAGTAATAAGAACTCTGGGATTTCTTATAATTTAGTCATTTTTTTATGAATATAATTAGTATCTATGTCTTAAGTACTAACTACTCATACAACTTACTGTTTTGACTGCAATGTGGGTAGTTTTATAATACTCTCAAAATTGAATTTAGTACTAAGAACTCTGGGATTTTTAATAATATGGTCTACTTTTTATGATAATAATATGTATCGATGTCGTAAGTACTAACTACTCATACAACTTATTGTTTTGACTGCAATGTGAGTAGTTTTATAATACTCCCAAAATTGAATTTAGGAATAAGAAAAATAACTCTGGAATTTTTAATAATATGGTCTAAGTTTTATGATAATGATATGTATCGATGTCTTAAGTACTAACTACTCTTACAACTGACTGTTTTGACTGCAATGTGAGTAGTTTTATAATACTCTGAAAATTGATTTAGTAATAAGAACTCTGGTATTTCTTATAATTTAGTCATTTTTTTATGAATATAATTAGTATCTATGTCTTAAGTACTAACTACTCATACAACTTACTGTTTTGACTGCAATGTGGGTAGTTTTATAATACTCTCAAAATTGAATTTAGTACTATGAACTCTGGGATTTTTAATAATATGGTCTACTTTTTATGATAATAATATGTATCGATGTCGTAAGTACTAACTACTCATACAACTTACTGTTTTGACTGCAATGTGAGTAGTTTTATAATACTCCCAAAATTGAATTTAGTAATAAGAAAAATAACTCTGGGATTTTTAATAATATGGTCTAAGTTTTATGATAATGATATGTATCGATGTCGTAAGTACTAACTACTCATACAACTTACTGTTTTGACTGCAATGTGAGTAGTTTTATAATACTCCCAAAATTGAATTTAGTAATAAGAAAAATAACTCCGGAATTTTTAATAATATGGTCTACTTTTAATGATAGTAATATGTATCAATGTCGTAAGTACTAACTACTCATACAACTGACTATTTTGACTGCAATGTCAGTAGTTTTATAATACTCCCAAAATTGAATTTAGTAATAAGAAAAATAACTCTGGGCTTTTTAATAATATGGTCTACTTTTTATGATAATAATATGTATCGATGTCGTAAGTACTAACTACTCATACAACTGACTGTTTTGACTGCAATGTGAGTAGTTTTATAATACTCCCAAAATTGAATTTAGTAATAAGAAAAATAACTCTGGAATTTTTAATAATATGGTCTACTTTTTATTGTAATGATATGTATCGATGTCGTAAGTACTAACTACTCGTATAACTTACTGTTTTGACTGCAATGTGAGTAGTTTTATAATACTCTCAAAATTGATTTTAGTAATAAGAAAAATAACTCTGGGATTTTTACTGATATGGTCTAAGTTTTATGATAATAATATGTATCGATGTCGTAAGTACTCACTACTCATACAACTTACTGTTTTGACTGCAATGTGAGTAGTTTTATAATACTCCCAAAATTGAATTTAGTAATAAGAACTCTGGGATTTTTATTAATATGGTCTACTTTTTATGATAATAATATGTATCGATGTCGTAAGTACTAACTACTCATACAACTGACTGTTTTGACTGCAATGTGAGTAGTTTTATAATACTCCCAAAATTGAATTTAGTAATAAGAAAAATAACTCTGGAATTTTTAATAATATGGTCTACTTTTTATGATAATAATATGTATCGATGTCGTAAGTACTCACTACTCATACAATTTACTTTTTTGACTACAATATGAGTAGTTTTATAATACTCTCAAAATTGATTTAGTCATAAGAACTCTGGTATTTCTATTTGAAGTGATTTTTTGTATGAATATTGTCCATTAGATTTCGGTGATTTCGATCAAGTTATAACATTCGAGAAACTCTTTATGTTCATAAATTAGATAAGTTTGAAGGCTGATTGTTTAAAAAATAAAGGTCTTTAAATAAAAGTATACGTGATATCAAATTGTTGTTTTTCTAATTTTATCTTTATGGAATTGAAACACTCCATTCTTCAGTTATACAAATTTTATTGGTTGCCAAAATATCATTTAATATATAGACTTACAATAATATCTATACATCTTTAAACTTATTGTAACTTTCAAAAGGAATTTTAAAAAAAGTACTTATCCAGTACTAATGAGCTTTTCAGATTTACTCAGACCAATCGCTAAAGTACAATTGAAAACTTTGAAAAGCGTCTTTTCATAGTGTAATTGTTTGTATGCTGAATGCTATAGTAGAACACTGTTATAGGATTGCACAGTACGTCGTACATGTTTTAAACATTCTTATATGTTCGTCATCGTTCGTATCGTATTAGTTACATGTCATTAAAATAATCAAATTTGTAATACATCATAAAATTTGCAATACATTACGCGACGTCAAAACTAAGAATCGTTAATGATATGGCTGTGGTGCATTTCCGGTGAGACAATAATCTGCCATCTAATTCAAATTATTCTAAAAATGAAGCATTACTCAAAGTAGCTACTTACAATTGTAATATTTTTATGCAATTATAGTATATAATTCACATTAAACTAAATAAAGATCATAAAGTAACTTTTGCAACATGTTTATCCTTTAAAAGAAACTCAAAGAGAACTGCGTGCATACAGTCATGCGTGATGGTGTAACATTGCTTTAATTGATATACCAGTCGTGCAAAAAACTTTAGGATAATAGACGCCATGACGTTTCAAATTGTTTATACAAAGAAAAGGTGAAATTTACGGAAACAATCTTGTAGCAGGATAAGAGGCCTTTCACATTTTTTGGCCTAAAAGCAGTGTCTTTGGGGTTCTGGTTCTAAGAAATTAAGAGTCGGATATACATTTTGATTCCTGAATTATATAGATAGATATCTAATCTTAAAAACAACATATTTGAAATGTTAATTTTCTCTTTGTTAGTCTTCCTAATTTCTAAAATAGTTTATTCAAAAACGCTAAATGACAGAAGTTTGGGGTCGTCGTTCATTAATAAACAAACATAAATTGATATGATATTTGTACTAAAACTTGATAATTACTTTATAAATTGAGACAGCATCGTCCATTTTTTCATTTTCAACTTAAATATCTAAAAAATTGATCATAATGAAACCCGAAATTTCAACAAAACTTTGCCATAATCATTTCTAATTTTCTCATAAATACAACGAAATTTTTGCATAAAAAAAACATAATAATAAAGTTAATATACTTGTAAATTAGAAATATAAAAAAAATATATAAGTTTCTAAGAAAAAAATAAACAATAATAATAATTTAAAGTTGTATAAATTCCGTTGCGCCAAAAGTAAATTCTCAGTGGCGCGCTAGCGCTCGTCGAGGTAGGGCCTATGCCATTTTTTACAACACCGCTAAGATAAGACATTCGTCAGTGAACATTAGTATAGAGCGACTAAACCATTTTGATAATTTAAGTAATATTTAATTAATTTTGCTAATATATACTTATTTCTACGAATATTAATTTAAAGTTGTTGTTAAATATATATATACATATATATATATAATAATAATATTTATTTTAGCATGCCAAGACAAAAGTACAGTTATGCTACAAATAAAACCTACCTACCCTGCTGGACTATGAAAAGCACAAGAGCATGGTATTTCGTCACACTAATGGCAATTAATTGTTAAAATTAAAAAAGAGAACATTTTAGTATTTTAAAAAATAACGCTTATCTGAGAGAAAAATGTAAGAAAATGTAAACCAATTTTACTCTATGTTTATTTTGTAGTTTTTTTCTAAATTAAAATAGGGTTATTGTTTATAAAAATACCATTATTATTTTTACGTACATTTGTCTTGTGTTATATAGTGTATATCATCTAGTATGCAATGTGGATTGTAAATAAATTACCAAATTATATATAAATTATATTCCTTAATGTTTAGAGATATTTTATCCAATTTTATTTTATTTTACACAATACAGATATTTCTAAATTGCAGCTATTCTGTTATTATACTCGTTGGACTTTCATTACTGTACAGTTATGTCAAATAATTATGCGTGTTTGGGTGAAAAGTCAACAACATTATAAATGTTTTTATTTAGAGACTAGCTTTTAGCTCGCGGCTTCGCCCGCGTGAATATGGGATATATAGGTTATCGCGCGTTTAAAGATCCGTGTACAGTATTGGGACGTTATATATAAACCTTCCTCTTGAGTCTATTCTGTCTATTAAATAACAACGAATCAAAATCTGCGTAGTTTTTTAAGATCAAAACATACATAGATCTATTACATGTGTAGATGATATTTTAACCGGAAATTGAAGCCGTTAAAATGGTATTGGCAGATCAGTTGGAATCATCGGTATTCTTGGTATATAAGCTTCAATTCTTTAGTAAGCAATATATCCAATGGGACGCCATTGCACATGTTCGGCGGGCTTAAATTTCATGACTGGATCATGCTTTTGAGAAATTCCTTCCTCAAGTTTGAGCATTTAGTGTGGGAAATCACTATCTGTGCTTCCATAAAAATGAGCTCTCAAATTTGTCAGTAGTTTTAAACTTTCAATTAAAGTCCATAAGGGAGACGATGTTAATGACACAGAGAGTCTTTCAGAAATCTCCAGCAAAAGTATAAAAGTAATCCCGCCAATGAGAGCAGAGGTGTTTCTAAGGTCTTTTAAGGTTCTGTCCAAAATCCCTATAGCTCATGGTGATTTCATTACATATAATCAATGAGGCGTCTTATAATAATTTATAAAAAGGTTTGACATTAACAATTAATTATTTATCAAGAATCAAGAATCGGCCAACCAAGAACGAGAAGCTGCAATATCAGCCAATATCATGCGGCGACGTCAATGATGCAGGAACAGCAATGATAGCAGTTGAAGCTTTTTTTTTACAACTTAGAAAGGAAAACAAGCTGACGGCTCTCCTGATGGAAAGGGGTAACCGTCGCCTATATACATGAGCAGTACCTGCCATGTTCATATCAGCACATTGTTTCCCTCATGCGTTACCATTCCTGAAAACTCGGGTGTTATTCCCCTGTATCTTGTAAATTCACTACCATATATATACACAGGTAGTCTATATAGATAGATATACATATACACAGATAGTATACCCTGAGAAAGGTCATAGACTACTTTATAGTGCGAAAAAAGTATTGTAAGGGATTAAAAGCGGAGATGAAAGGTTGTATAAAAGTATCGTCATTGTTTAATTGAAACAAAGAAACTTTTTTAGGTTATAATCTAAATATATTTCCTTTATTTGGTCAATTTCATTATACCACGCTGACGAAGTCGCGGACACACCTAATATACATATAAAGATGGGACCTTTAAATCAAAACAAAGCCTTGAAAACAGAACTATTATATATAAATAAAATAATTATATTGTATCTTATAATAAATTATATTGTATCTATTAATAAATAAACTGAATTAATATGTAAGAAGAATTAATTAGTAAATTTATGTTATAGTAATTTCATCTTCCTGTCCTTATCCAAATTATTTGTTACTCATATTACTTAAGGTTTTGGCTTTTAGTTGTACAATCGGCCAGCATCCTGACATCAACCCTCTAGGAATAATATAATAAAAAAATATGGTCATTATTAGCACTTTGATAATTAAGATAAATCACGTTATTTAAAAAAATCCAATAAGTAGTCTCAGTTAAGTAGAAACATATCACATTATTAATTAAAATATTACAAGGATCAAAATGGTTCATACTAAATCCACACCGATTGAGCTACACGGTTATTTGCGTCTGTGTGCGTGTATTACTGTATGTGTGCGTAAATCCATGCGATTAAACCTAAAGTTGAGCGGCATCATTTTGTAATAGTCCTCTTAGCGCTTATAGTAAGTTTTGCGGACAGTTGTATTGTATTTGAGGACTGCTTAAATGCGCTCATGGAAAGTATTTTATTTCTATTGTCATTTTTAGCCTTCTATGCAAAATATCGGAAGATATTTTACCGGCTTATTTTTATAATAAGAGATAATAAAAATGGAAGCAAAATTTTATTCTGAAGCAAAAGCGATAGGAAGTTTATAACGATAATTAGTTTTTAAATTATATTAAAGTATACGTGGTTTTATATGGATTTTATTAATAGGTTGGGCATAGACTCTAATGCATCAACAAACCATTTGCAATTGTCTGTGGCACCTTAGCTGTTTATAAGCGCTCCATTTGTTGCCTACTTCCCTTCAGTCATTTTCTTCTAGACACTGTATAAACTTGTTCAATGAAATCATAAAAAATCTTTGTCATCGATAGGTTTTACTTAAATTGACATTATGAGACCTCGAATGCCTGAATTATACTCGAAATTAAGTCTAATATCCTTAGCTGATATCCGTTATGAAGGCAGACTTTTTACCTTCGATCTCCAAGAAGGTATCATCGCTCTGGCTAGTGGTAAGTTGACATATTTGAACTAGATTTAACAGATACTGCGCCTATTTTACTATCTATTTACTGTACTATACTATAATTTTACTATCTGTTTACGACTATTTTTCCAATTAGACTTATTTATTTTTGGATGATCTATTGATGCGTCTTCTTAAATTATGAGAGTTGGTTTTTAAAAATACCGCGCAGTAAGCAGGCGCCACAATCTACAAAATTCTCACTGCCCCCCTGGACATATACTGGGTACAGACATGTATGTTCTTGTATTATATGTGAATTGTTGTTTACTTTTTGAAATGTGTTGATAACGGTTAGTTATGAACTGGGTAATGTGAACCTCATTGTTTTGTTTCTACCCTCGAATCTTAATATAGAAAGAACTAGAATTCAGTAGCGCCTTGGTGATGTTGATAAATTACATATTAAAATTTTAAAAAAGAACTCATAATTTTCACTAAATTAATTTATAAGTACTAAAGGACATGTGTTAAAAAAATATTAAACCAACAGCTGTTTTAATAATTAGTAACTAAATAACTTAAGTTTCCTTTTTTTTTATAACACGGGACAAACGAGAATGCGGCTCACCTGATGGTAAGTGATTACCGCCGCCCATAACACCCGCAACACCAGGGGAATTGCAAGTACGTTGTCGGCCTTTTAAAAAGGAATAAGCTCTTTTATTGAAGGTTTCAATATTGTATCGGTTCCGAAATACCATTGCTGGAAGGTGATTTCACAATGTGTCCTTCCTCATACACAGTATATTCTCAAATTATTTCTGCTATAGAGGAAAAGAAATTTTGGTGTTCATAATGGCAGTATTTATAAAACTACCTACAACGCTAGTAAATTTTTAAAGGATTAAGCTATTTTTTGTTCTTACACAGTTCGATCATTTGGTACTGAGGATCGTCAGACAAAATATCCTATAGGACCCCAGAGCCAAGTGTATGACTACATCTTCTTCCGTGGATCTGACATCAAGGACATCAGTGTGATTGATAATGTGCCAGCCTTGTCGAACGATCCAGCCATCATGCAGATATCGTTGCCACCTTCGCTTGGAGGTGGCCTATCACCACCAACCCAATTTGTGGGGCAGTTCACTCAGCCAGTTGCTGGTCAGCTGCAATACACTCAATACCATCAAATAGCAGGGTCCACTGACAGTGCTCAAGCTTTGATCAACAATTCCAGTGAGTTGTCTCCACCCCATGTTAGTGGAACTAGATCCTGCTGTTCCTACCTATGACTGCTGCAATTGGATCAGAAATGATACACCTCTCCAATCAAGTAAAAGACCAAGGTCTTTCAATGGTTGATTGTAGCTTTGATCTCTAGATTCATGCTATGTTGCATTTTTTGCTACTCACTGACAAACTTATGCATAATTGTATTATAAATCATTCTATTTTAAATAAGTAGCTGAAAATCAGTGTTTTGCTCCTTGAGTGATTCTCCACACTGAGCTATGTACCAATTTTGTATTACTGTAGCACACACATGCAGGTTTACCCTTATTGAATTGTTATATTGTAGGTACTTGTCATTTGATGTGTACTAAGATACAAATAAAAACTATTATCTATCTATCTATCTAATATAGTGTTCAGCTCAAATTTGTATTGTAAAGGATGCATGCAAGCACGTTTATATATCCTATACCACTTTATTTTTATTACTATTATTTAGTATCATATTACTTGATTTTTTTCACAATCCCTTTTATTTTAATGTATTTTGTTGTACATTGATATTTACTAACTTTATACTTGGACACATTAATATATGTAAAATCATGTTTCCTTACATATATAAAGTAATAATATTTTCATTGAAAATGTTGTTATACAAACAACTACAGAAAAATTGCAACCTACATTCATACTCCTTGGTCTATTGCTTGTTACCTATGCAATTAAAATATTATTTATATTCATTGAGTTATTCCTAAGATTTAATTTTTGTAAGTTTTTTTAGTAATTATTACTAAAAAAACTTGAAATATATATTTCTGTATAGAAGTGTCATTGCAAAAAAAATCATGTATATAATCTATATGCTTTCATTACGCTTCTTTTAATATCAGAACATTTATAACAACACTATATCACTTCAGTACTTTCAGAAGTTTATACTTTAGGAAAAGTGTGAAACTTGCTATTCATCCCTAGTTTTGAATGTGACTAGTGACTTAAATTAATAGAAATTAAATATTCACTTATTTAATTTCTATTAATTTAAGTCACTAACATTGTCCTCAATATCTAATGGCAATGTATTGTTTATACATTATAAAGGAAGTCTATAATATTTGAAGTTATCACTACAGAAGTTATTCTTGAATATTTAAAGATATTATTTTTTTTATATTTGGCATACTAGGTATGCTTTTTAATCAATATTAATTATTTAAAACTAAGAAATATTTTTATGCAGTATCATTGGAATTAAAATTATATAAAAATTGTATAATTATGACAAGGTACTCAATAAGTTTTGTTTTATTAGATTCCATTCTTGATGTTATTGGTGTATCTCAACAAAATGCTTCAAGCTCTGGAATTCTTGCCGTCGAAGGTCAGAGGATGAGACCTACTGCAGATCAAGGGACTCAGGTATTATTTATATTTGTACATCAGCTTACACATGACATGATTTGTATAGTACCAGAAATTATTTACCCTCACAGAAAAGGAAACGGCACTGCACTATGTGGTTGTAACCCACTCATGCATAAACGAAATACTCCTTTGGAAAGTATACAATCTATCATGAGGAGATAACAATCACTCCTAAGAATATCCTTCAATTCTTGTCCCTCACGGGTCTAGGTAGCGAACTTTGAATAAGGGTGAGCATAATAGATCTATACAGGTCGCAGTGTTACAAGTACCTAGCATAGCACCTGACAATAGCCCAAATCCCCAAATAAATATAAAAAACACAGTTAGTTGATATCTTCCTGATAGAGTTGACTTGGGAAAGAGCATATTAAATTCAAACAACCCGGCCAACAATCTCTAAAGAGATATCTTTTCCCAACTGCGGGATAATAGCAAGAAGTCATGTTGATGCATCATAACATTTTGCAAATTTGTGACATTATATTACTTGCTTATTACCAGCAATTTAGGGGAAAGAAAATTGTTGGTAGTGTGGACTAATGACCCCAATACTAGCAATGATGGTACATTGCTGGTATTGGGGTCATCAGTCCACGTTAGGTTGACCTCAACGCCGTTCTCCCTGGAAACCATCATGATAAATGAATTTGTCAGATAGGTCAGGTCAGTTAGACCTGACCTCATACTCATCTTATCATCTTCCACTGGTTCCCCGCCAGCGTATACCGTTAGCGCAGGCGGGTACCATTCTGTTATCATCCTAAAAAAGACCAGCAATTTACATTCTTTGACTGAATATCAAAAAAACTTTTGCAGTATGTGTTTGGATATGTACCACAAACAAGGAATTATAATAGAATTATATAAGGAATTATATTTCCCTTTTGAGTTACTGTCATTATTATTACAGATATATACTAAAAATATAGATAACGTTTGTGACTTTTTCTAGCAGATGAGTGCAGTTGGAAGAGGCTCACGGCAACAGCGGGACAGCTGTCGCGGCAGCAGCTCTGGAGCAGGTGACCAGAAACAACAACCCAACCGCAATAGGACAAGCAACCGTCAGCGTTATCCAAGTGGTGGTGCCGACACGGCCCCCGGTCCCCAGCAGCATCAGCAGTCCCAGGACCAAAATGCTCAACACCAACAAGGCCAAGGTCACCACAATCAGCCTAGTGAGTCCGTTAGAGAAAACATGCAAACATACCGTCGTAACTATAATTATAGATCCCCATCTATAATTATAGTTACAACGGTATGTTTGCATGCGGGGTAGACAGAGGCATTGTCAAAAGGTTTTTATTGTTTTAATAGGTCAATGGTATGGACGGAGTGGTCGGAGAGGGCGGCCGCGCGGTAGTGGTCGCGGGTTCTTGCATCAGAACAAGAACACTCTTAAGTTTGATAATAACTATGAGTTTATACAACCAAATACTAAATTTGAGGAGCTGCGAAGCCAACTTGAGAAGACTAAGATTTCTGATGGCGACAGAAAGACAGAGGTGAGGTTTGCTAGTTGAATCTATTACAGACATGTTATATGCAGAGATTTTATATAAGATAGTGGATGTCTTGCGATGTTATAGTGTCAACATGAACTATACTAACGGCGTTGACGGCCTTGGTGGTCTAGCGGTTTAGCACACTGCCTTTATTTTCGATGGTCCTAGTTTCGTTTCCTCGCTCGGTACAAATGTTTATGATTGTTTATATCGATCTGGGTGTTTTATGTATCCTATGTGTATATTTAAAAAATGTAGGTATATAAGTATTTATATCTATGTTTACTATCAATAATACAAGCAATACTTAACTTAGGACTAGATGAATTGGCGCTTTGTGAATTGCCCAGGATTATTAACATATTTTCATTCTAACCGTATGAAATTTCGGTACAGAATTGACAGTAATATAATTATTACGATTAAGAACTTTGTGACCTAAAATTCAGGAATTAATCTAAATACAATTGAGTTGCCAAAAAAGCATGTAAACAACAAGTAGATATGTATTGTTGTATTTAACTTCATATTTTATTTGGTTGGTACCATTTACTAAAAGAACGTAATGAATATCTATCTAATTTATCATTCATGTTTCATAGAATGCTGAGGTTGAGAAGAAGGATGGTTTAGGGAATGAGACTGGCGCTGGCGAGGCGGAGCTTGAAGATAAAGGCTTCGCTGGATACGATAAGAAGAAGAGTTTCTTTGATAGCATCTCCTGCGAGGCTGGTAAAAGGTATATTACGCAAGAAGCTAAGTAATCTTAAGGAAAGTTGCGAAAAATCTAAATCTCTAGAAGACCTATACATAGGATTTATATCAAATTGAAAGTTTCGATTATAAGTTTCGATGGCCGCTTCCAACATTGTAGGAAGATAACGGGATTTAGTAGATAATAAATTAGTGTGTATATGTTCGTTGTGAACAGGTCGATGGGTCGTAGCCAGCGAACAGACTCGAGAACTGAGCGTAAGGTGTACAAGGAGACGCACGGCTTCGGGATGGCACAGCGTGGCGCGTGGCGCGGACGAACGGGCTGGCGACACCAGCCGCATCACAACCCTCAATACAAGCCGTGAGTCACCATTATCACACGTACACTCAGCCCTGGATCTTCATGTTTTTGAGACGGGGCAAAGTTAAAAAATGTCGAATACATCGAATATAAACAATTTACTTCACGTCTCAGTACTCAAATTGTCAAAGACGCGTTATTGATGCTATATTAATATGCCAAGTTCGAATTTGCCGCCACTAGAGCTTTTTTTTTATATCCGGGGCTGCGTAAACCCACCGCCGCAGCAATGAACCAGAATTAACCAGAGTTTTTTCTCATCCTATCATCATCTACCACTTTCATTTCATTATTTCCCATGGTGGTGGAGGTGGAGGCCGATGCGTGGTGGCCGCGGTCGCACCAATCCTTCCGACCCCAACGTGAATGCTAACGAGAGCTGCCAGCCGCGGAATCACGCGCCCGATGTAAATTCCGCCTCGAATGAAGCTCAGCAGCCGGTCGCCCTCCGTCTCTAGTGCAGGTGAGTCATTCAATAAAAATAACCTTTTTCTGAAGCTGCATAAAAAAGAGAATATCTTTTTAATCTTATTAGACTAGATAGATTATAGCAGATTACTAGACATATTACTAATGTAATAAACGCGGAAGTCCAGACAAACAAAGATCCATAACTGTAGGTCATGGATCTTTGTCTGTTACTCTTTCGTGCAAAAACTACAGAATAAATTTTAACATAACTTATATGTAGGTTATGACCCACATAGGCGAATTCCGCGATCATAACTAGGTATATACTAATAGTAATATATAAAAATATATGGGGGAAAACTTGAAAGACTTGAAATACATTTGAATGTTGGTTGAAAAAAGATGCATGTGTATGTGTATTTATATAAAAACTCCGAAACCGCTTAGGCTTGACAGATTCTTAAGAAATAATCTAATAGCAATATTATTATTATTGGGTGTATTTTAAATACAATGTCGCTCTCGGATTATTTTAATTTGTTACCGGTATTTTCATCACCGATGATACATTTACACACCAAGTTTTTTGTGTTAGTCAGATTGGAACTTACTACATTCCTGTCTAAGTTGGAGTAGGAAACAACGGCAACAATAGTTACATATTTAAACTAATCTACATATTTTTTTCTTTACAGCCAAGTAGAAGAGAATGTCCCCACAAGATACTATATCGAATATTAACTCATTATCGCAAGGACTAATAGAAAGTAACGGAGAAGTGTATGTTATAAAATTGATCATAATTGTAATGGAATCGAAAATGTAATGTTGCTTTTACGGGAAAGAATATTGTAAGGATCATAAGGATTCAAGTTGCTGGACATTGTTTTGGTGTGTTAGTGTTGTATCCAATATTATAGAAAGTGTAAGAAGGAAATCCCCGTAAGCATGCTACTAAGCGTTGTGTTTAGTGTTCGGGGATAAGCTCGGATGAGTTCACTGTTTGTAAATATAGTTCTGAGTAATGCCTACTCAATATTGTGCAGTTAATCACATAAATTGACTTATATGTCATGGAAAGTGATTGTAAAAGGTAAATGTGAATGGCTAAATTATTAAATTACGGAAGTAAACATTTAATATGTCTTTATTAAAATAAATCGAGGATAGATAGAGTTTGTACCAAAGAATTTGCATATTCTAATTTGAAACATTTTCATATATTGGCCACTTAATCACTTAAATTGACTTGAATGTCATGGAGCACAATTGTAAACGGCACTATTGCCTTTAAAATGATGTAAATCATCCTTCTCTTTAAATGGTTAGATAGAGCTGTGTAAATTGTCTCGATTAAAATAAATCGAGGCTAGGTTATGTGCCAAAGAATTTGCAGTGTCATTTGAAATATTTTTATATATTGGGCACTTATATGTCATGGAAAGTATTTGTAAAAAGCAATAGTAAAAATGATGTAAATGTCCTGTAATGGGATAGGGCTATGTAAGTTGTCTCGAGTAAAATAAATCGAGGCTTGGCTATGTACCAAAGAATGTGCATTGTGTAATTCGAAGTATTTTCAGTAAATTATATTTTCATAAAGCTTTTCACCTGTTATCCTCATTTGTGTTTATTTAGACTGTAATGAGAGTTAATGTACTTATGATTTATTATGTCCAAAGGGTCATTTTCATGTTTTGTAAAGGGTAGGGTAGGGTGCACTCGCCTGCGCTAGTGGTTTACGCTGGCGGGGCTCCTGTGGTGGATGATAAGATGAGTATGAAGTCAGGTCAGTTAGCCGATTGTGGCAAATTCATCAGGAATTTAACATAATGTTTTCTTATGGGAACCGCGTGGAGTTCTGCTGGTGGTCTGGTGGACTGGTGCTGGTCTCACGATGATGCCATTGCCTTCTTCATCTATAGTGCTTCGTTTAGTTAAACAAAAATGTTTTTGGTTTTGTGTATATATTTTATTTAGGTTATTCAGTGGTCATCGCCATTTTGATCATTGCCAGAATTTATCGAGCAACTCTTTGTTTTACCACACAAACACATTATGTATAAATTGAGAATGTTCTGAAAAAAAGTACTTAGTTTAATTTCTTTTATAAAATTAGAACAAAATTGTATATTACAGTGTTGCTGTAAGTAAGTTCTTTTGATTTGGAAATTTACCTTATTTTTTTACAGAAATACGATATATTTGTAAATACCTTACTCAAAAAACTGTACCTGATTGTATTATCATGGAAATATATATTTATAACAAATGTTACATAGTGATATTATTTTAAAATAACATACACCTATAACCTTTTATTGCAGAACCCTGAAACTTATTTTTTAGGTTATTTATTAAATATAAATAAATAAAAATGAGTTGTAAGGGTTTGAAAGGACTAAGTCGCAGGAACAGCCAGTATAAGATATTATATACATACATAAATTACGTGCAATTAATCAATATAAATATGCTAAATATAATTGAAAGTATGTACCTAATCAACACCAAACAGGTGATTTTAACTCCTCATCAGGTAATTAAATACTCGGTTCTCATAATTACTTAATTATAAGATTATATGTAGATGGTTTTGTACAGCTAAATACACTATTTGTGGTACTAGAAGGGTCATAATGCATCTGTTTTTGACTCTGTTGTCAAGAATTGTAGTGAACCTGCTAGCTTATGTGTCAATAGTGTACTCAAAAGACATTATATTTTTGTTAAATACATGAATGGAGGGGAATTTATCTACTTATGTCACTCAAAACGGTAGACCACGGTCGTGGTGGGGTACTTTCGAAATGTAACCACTAAGGGCATCTGGATGTCATAAATAATATCTATTACTATATGACTATTTAGGTAAGATAATTTAAGGTAAAGTCAAATAGTCAATAAAAAATTTCTTTAAACAAGACCAAATTATTCTTGTGATAAATATTATTATATCAATAAACAAGTATATAATTTATGTCATTGAATTGCAGTAAGTTAAGATAAACGAGGTAGTAAGAATTTAGCATAAAAATTGCAATTGTCTCTTAACTATAAAAATATGGAAGGCTCTCTTATCCATATAAATATTTTTTTCTTTCTTTTTAGACTAGAGATGAAACGGATAGCAGTTTGTTTCAGACTAGAGATGAACCGGATATTCGGCCAACGATCTGACCGAATAGCCGGATATCCGGCCGCCGGATATTCGGCGGTACTTATCTAATAAATTCATTTTCTTTCTATTACAGTCATTTACTATTGAGTGATTAAAAATTTAAAACTAAAACTAATTTTATTTCTTAAGTAATATTAAGACTAACTAAATAAAGCAAATAATAATTGATAGTGATGATAGATAGATAGATAGATAATGTTGCGTTTGTAATAATATCATCGGCACGGTCGCTGCAATAATTCATAATTAGGTACATTTATTATGTTTATTAATTGTATCTATAGTATTGTCAGTATACAAAATTTGTTGCTATAATATATTTAGGATTACCAAATAAAACATTGTTTTATTAAAATTAATATAGAGAAACATTAACTAAATTATGTGCTATTCATATAAATATATACATAAGTTTTAGTCAATTTTTATAATTAATCTATTTGTAATCCATAGACGTGCGTGATTTATTATGTTTAAAGCCAAAAATGTTGCTATATGTAATATTTTTCGGATAACTAAAAAACACATTATTTATTAAATTTAATATACTGAAACATATTCAGTAAATTATATTTACTATTTATATTTATCTATATCACTTGTATTAAATTTTTGTGTTTAATCTATTTGTCATCCGTAGATGTGCGTGACGTAGGATTGGTTTCATTATACCTACCCGCAATTTTTTTGTAAAACGAATTTTACAAAATAATTGCGGGTATGATTAAATTATACTGAGCATATAAGCTAAGACATCGTCATCATCCACCATTTTGTATTACATCGTCGTTCAGTTTATTGCGTCGCAACGGTTACTGCAGTATTCTATTCTTTTTCAAAACTCCAATTTCAAAAAGCATAGAAATGGTAAGAAATTTTACAACTATTATTTTTATAAGCCAATAGGTCAATACTGCATTAAAATACAATTTCAATCGTAATATATTTTTATATGTAATTGGAATGTAAAATAAGCTGACGGTCCGCCTGATGGTAAATGGTAACCGTCGTCTACGGACATTTCTTCTGATCTGATGAGTTGCTATTCCTAAATACTAAGAAGAAGATTACCTCGGTATAAATATTAAAAATATTTAGATGCATTATAAGTATATTATGTAATCATACACGTGGCGATGCCTTTATTAAATAATTATTGTTTAAACAATAGGAAATACAAATGTTTTCCGAAGTGGAGGTCTCTTATATAAAATTAAAAATAAGAGATTTAAGAGAAGAAATTGAAGAATTGAAGTTAATGGGCGTTGATGGGGATGAACAGTTAAAGAAATATCGCGTGAAGGTAGCCATTTTATTTTGCTGCTTATGAATAATTATTATTTAATTGTCTATAACTAGGTCAACTAAAGCCTTAAAAAGTTTATGGAATTATATCTAATGATTTTTAATTCATGCACTGAGAACATGCACGTTAGGGCATTGTTCGGCGTATCTTTTACAAGGTCAACTTGAAATTGACTGGCAGAAAATAAAACTTGTGGATTCGACTGTTATATGATTTTGTCCTTCTAATTTTGGTAAACAAGCTGATGCACACGTGATGGTTTGGGACAACCATCTTGTTCATGTATCTTTGTTCAAACGCCATTTTGTTTCCGTGCTTTACTTGCATGCTTGAACCCAAATGACTTGGTAGCTGGGAAATGACAGACAGATAATATAAAATTACAGTAATTTGTGTAAAGTATACTACAATTATATATAAATATTTATTTTTCATATAGATATTACAAAAAAATATCATAAACCAAAAGCATCATAGTATGTACATACATATATAAACCAAGCTATTTTGTATTCATATTTTACTTTTTTAGATAGGTTTATAAGTAGTTGACTCACATG